TCACAGTTCTAGCAAATTGCTGCCCAATCTCTCTCTGAAGATAGCTTTTCTATGACTGTATCAAGATTTCAGCCAAGCATTCTCTTTTGAAATAATTGCCACAATTACACTGAGGTAGTCAATGGATGTGTGCATATATACACGTGTGCATAAACCACCGTAACTGACAACACCAGGCACCACAGTGCTTGGAAATCCCGAGTCTCCATCCTGCCCAATCATCTACTCCCATCCCTGAGACTCAAAGCCCAATTAAGATTTGCAGCTGTGTTCATGAAATTATTATGTTCATAAAATTATTATTATTCCCCAAAACTTTTGGAAAAATGCGTTTCAAAGTCCCGATTTTAAAGCCAAAGTTAAAGCACTGTCATCCTCCCTGGTGGAAGTATGCTCTCATTAAGTCTATTTCAAACCCCCTCCAGGAGGAACTTGGAAGAAACCAGCATCCTTGGGTCATATGAGCTAGTATGAGTCAGCCCCCATGCACTGGTGGCCATCCTTTTCCCGCTATTAATGGTTGACCACATATTCCAGCTACCACACCAATTCTGGCCATTTACTGGTTTGTTTTTTGAAAATTTTCCCTGTAGACTAATGTCCAAGGAAGAATTTATTTTCTGCACACCAAAAGACCCATCTCTTGCCCAGATGCCACTGCCATGCCTTTCCTATAGAATTTGGTTGATGTAATTCTGATTCATTCATTTAAAGAATGTTTATTTTTAATTGTGTATATGTATGTATGTATATGCATATGTATATGTATAAATATGCTACATGTCCAGATTTGGATCACCTAGAGATGGAGTTACATGTGATTATGAGACACCCAATATGGGTTCTGGGAACCAAACTCAGATACCATGCAAGAGAAGTATATATTCAATTGCCATGTCATCTTTCCAATTTTGCTATTTGCTCATTTGAATATTCAAAAGGAATTCCTATTACATTAAAAGAATTCAATATTCCACTTTTCATCTTAGAAAACTCGCATCTGCTTAGCCATTCAGCCCCCAAGATACACATCTGTGCCTGTGATCCCAATATAAAGGAGAATAGGAAGACCAAATATTTAGTACTTTTGTACTTACATTAATTCAATATACACTGAGTATCCACTACGTCTGATATATGCTACTTGTGGTAATATTACCATAATTCAAGTAAATTCTCTCCTATGACAAACTTTGATTCAAGTGAAAGAGATAAGCAATAAATAAGTTAGCAGATAAATGAACATGATAAAATCATATGAATGCTGAGACCCACGCTCTCAATTTCTGGTTTGTTGCATGCATGCAACAAGCATATTTACCAAGCTGCAATGAGTGTTTAATCCCAATATACATGGAACTATAGCTGGGAAATTTTTAAAGCATCAAACATTGAAAAAAATAAAAGAACACGTCTCTAGTCAGGTCTAAGATGGCTTATCTGAGGAAATGACACATACATTGAGTTGACCATGTACATAGCAGAGGAAAGAAAGGAACTGGCACTTTAGATAAAATGAAAGAAAACCCTATGGCCAGGTAAAAAGGAATAAGAGAGAGTGCCCAGCTTTGTGAGCCACAGCAAGATGCTTGAACGGTACTCTAAGAATGGCATACCAACAATGAAGAGTTTCATTTCGACAAAGTTTAACAGATTATAAAATTAAGTTGTCTCTCACTTTTTCAAAGTGGTAGGCTCACAATCTATTTGGAAGCACCAAGCATATAAACAAATAAACAAGTAGTTGTAATATAAGATGTTAAGAACTACCATGGGATACCTCAATGGCTTGTTACCTTAGGTGTACCCAAGAGAGAATCAGAGCTTGGTAGGAACAGACGAGGACAAATTTCCCATGAAGGATAGAGAGAAGGTGAATGAATGGTAGTCACAGAGAATTGTACTGTCAGGAACGGTGATAGCAGAGACAGGCCGAGACACAGAAAAGTTAAGCAAACGAGTTCAATGAGATTAGTAGCTACAGAGTGCAACCTCAAGGCTGGGTCTAACTACAAAGTCCCAATAACAATCAATTAGGCAAGACCTAACAGAGGCCTACAGTCAGGATTTGGAGTAACAGAATAGATGGCTGCCCCTGTGTCGCACTCAAGGGCAGTATTGATTTACAGACGACTGTCTTTCTACAGTCTGCCTTTGCTGCCTCTATTTCCTGTTGTGGCTTAAAACCACCTCACTGAGGGGGCCTTGTGTTCCTTTGTGGCAACCTGCTAATTACAGACCATTATAAAAGGTAGGAAGCAGATGTGCCCACACATGCCTTTCTGTGGCCCAGCTGGACACCACTTTATACCCCACTTACTCCTTTCCTCCTGCCTGCGACTGTACAAAGGCCATAGGCCAACATCAATTGCACATGACAGCCTCGGCCCCACCTCTCACCATTAAATACTGTTTAAGAGTCACCATAGAAAATTTCTTAGGAAAAATCCTAACCTAATATTAGAAGAATCCATAAGCCCCATGCCATTTACAGTCGACCTGTGTCTTTCGTTCTTGAAGACACAGGTTGATCACATTTCCCAGAGTTCCTTACTGTAGGATGTAAACGGGAAGCCAGGCTCTGGTGAATGAAATAATGAACATCACTTCTTGCTCTGGGTGTTAAAACAACCCTTGGGTGGGAGAGAAAGAGAAAGAGGGGGAGGGGCCTTAGTGAAGAGGTTCTCAACCTGTGAATTGTAATCCCTTTGGGGGTCACATATCAGATATTTACATTATGATTCTTAACAGTAGCAAAATTATAGTTATGAAGTAACAACAAAATAATTTTATGGTTGGGGATCACCACAACATGAGGAACTGTATTAAAGGGTCACAGCATTAGGAAGGTTGAGAACCACTGACTTAGTGGTTAGAGCACTTGGTCTTCTAGAGGGCCCGAGTTCAATTCTCAGTACCCATATTGTAGCCACAACCATCTGCGACTCCAGTTTCAGGGGATCTGATATTATCGTCTATTTCCCAAGAGAAATGTATATACATGGTGCACAGGTATACATGCATGCGAAACACCCATACACACACAACAAAAACAAAGATGTAAAAAGAACATCCCTTGGGTAATCTTCCACATGTTCCTTCCCCTTTGAGAACACAGACATGGTTATCTTGGTGATCTTAGAGGCCACAAGACACGGATGACATGTGTATAAACAACAGTAGTTAGTGTTCCCCAAAATCTACATTGAGCAGGCTCTGCAGCTCTCATTCCACTGACGTGGAACTAACTTGCAATACACTCAGATCCTTATATGTAAATGCATTACAAGGACTTGCTCATAAATTTTGGTCCTTCGAACAATGTGAGCCTCCTGAAAAGAGGCAGCTATGGCTCATTCTTTGATCCTTCCTGTTTTATAGAGAAAGCATCTATCAAGACGTGGTACCCAATCCACAGTCAGTGAACGATCAGTGCCAACCATTAGACTCATGAACTACTTCTTAGTATTGTTTTCTAATTTTTTTTTGTTTTTGTTTTGTTTTCTGTAACCCATAGGGAGAGCAATGACTATAAACAGAGATAAGGCTAAGGTTCATCCTAGGATACCAACGCTTCAGTGTAAAGCTCTGAACACTCACTACACACAGGTACATGGAACCATTGGGAGCGTCTGTTGTTTTCCTGTGGAGGAGAAACTAGACATTCTCCTACATAAGACCAGAGAGAATGAAAAACCTTCGAAGTGAAAGAAGTCTCTACTCTGAACAAATCAAAAGGCATGCAATTTGCCATCCTGCTGGAAAGACAAAGGGGAAAATATGAAGCAATGGATTAAGAAAACACCCCCCCCACACACACACACACCAAGAAAAAAAAATACCTAGAATAGTGATGCCTACCAAAGAGGTGAGGTAGGGATTGATGGGGCAAAGGACCTACCTGGCTTTCAGGTCAGGTGAACCTGGACTATCCCAGCTGTCTGCCTAAAGGAAGTCTGTGAGCATCTGCTCAGAGCGCAGTACTCAGTCACTCTGAGAGGAGGAAGCCTGGAATCCAGGAATCCAGGTAGAAGAACATGGATGGAGCTCACAGCCTCGGACCCAGACAGCAGAGCTCTAGGACAACAAAACTGCCACACCTGTAGTACCTACCCATTAGATCAGCCATGCAAAGGGGCTGATGATGCCAAGTGCTGATGTGGCTGTCAAAGAACTAGAAGTCTGGGAAATACAGTGTGCCCACGGTGGCCAATGGAGTCGCAGCTTCTTAAATGGCCTATCTGTTTCTCCCAGGTGATCCAGCTGCTCCTCCGTGAGTGCTTTCCTAAGAAGCATGTGCGCATGTGTCCAATAAATATGTATATGCCCAGTGAGCCAGACATGGGTTCACACTACACAGACTCTAAGACTCCTACTGACTGTGCCTTTCAGATCGGTTATAGCTGCCCATGCTAAGATGAGTTTTCCAACTGGAAACCAAAAGTGGGAAGGGTATTGTGTGTATCTTTCATTAAAAATCATTTATATTTTAAAATAATTCTACGAAATAAATAATTGGAGTAGAACTCTGGGAAAAAAATTCTCAACATGTGGTGTTGTTTGCTTAATTATAGATAAAAGCCAATAGTAAGACAGTATCGCGAAATTGCCGTAACAGCTCTAAAATCTTTTCTACTACTCCATCAATACATTTCTGCAAGGTTTGTTTTGCTACTGGATCATTATTAAAATAGAAGACAAGTTAATAAGTGGGAAGCAAGCCGATGCGTCTAATTACAAATTATGTGTAAAAATATGACTATAATGTCTACTTTGGAAAATTAGTTTTCACTCAGTTTGTTTAGTCATAATTATGAAATGATAAAAGTTTAACTAAAGTAGTTATTTACTATATTAGTTGTCTTTATCTTTTATAACTATTATTGAGTAATGTGGAAAATACGGTAAATTTTTAGTTTTCCATTTATTTCAGTAATAGAAGTTAGACAGAATTTTATATCTATCGAATCTAGTAAAATAACTAACAATGGGTGAGTGGATACACAAGTCATAAACATCTAAGAAATGGGATATCACCAAACAATAAAAAGGAGTAAATGATATATGAAAATAACTACATGTAGTAAAAATATAGAAAGTAAATTATAAGTACCTTGAAAGAAAGAAAAAGTAGTTAAGGAAGGGCCAGAGAAAGGGATTGTAATAAGACCTTTGGGGGAGATAGATATAATCATTATCCTAACTATGGATGTGTCTACATGTCAAAACTTATCAAACTAAACACTTCAGATATATGCAGCTTATTACGATAATACACGGCTAAGGCTTTTTAAGAAGTTATGTGTCTATGCAGGTATCAACAATAGCAAAGTTTCTTCATCTTAGGTAAATGAGCTTCTATCATCTGTTATCCCGGAAGTAGTCACTTCCAGGTGTCTGCTGGGACCTTTCCACATGAGGTTGGAAAACAGTAACCTTTGTAGATTAAAATGTCCTAGCATCTAGTTTATATCTTCCATTTACATTCTGTGTGAGTTCACATGGAGAATTCCCAATGGTGGGTTGATAGGGAGCCAAGGGCTCATTGGGAAATGCAACAGGGTGGATCCAATGAACATGGGTTCACAACCCAGCTCCACCGAGACTTGATTCCCACCATGTCACTGAAGAGCAACAGGAACCCTCAGTGTGTGCAATGGTGGTGGTTCTCTATACACTGACCTTCCAAGGACCCCACTTACAGCACTGTTAGCACCCCAAGAGTTTCTTGCTTGGCGTTTCTGCCACAGTGTCCACAAAAGAAACCTTGTTAGGAATTTTCTTCCACCCTCACCAGTCATGAGATTTTCTGCACTTTTCCTATAAAGGGGAGTAGATAATGTCAATTTAACAGATCATAATCAATAAAGAATAAAAAGCAATCACAAGCTTAAACCACTCAGCATAGTTTTACGCATCAGATACACTTCACACACTGGGACCCTTTTACAAGGAGCAGTTTGGAGAGGCCAGATACTGAAGAGCGCAGAGGCAAAGTAAGGATTCAGGTGACTCTGCATTGCATCAACAGCAAAGCCACAAGTGAATCATTTAGCTTTTCTGGGTCCCATCTCCAGTTCCTATAAACAAAGGGCTTCACATGCTCCAAGACATCTTGCCAAGAATGTGAGGATAAATAAGACTTGGCCCTGGCCCTTTAAGAGCTGAGGACTCAGAACTCTCCAGCTTTGATCAGCTTTCCTTGAACCCCAATTGCTGAGTGATCATGAAATTACACGTCTGAATGTACAAGTAATGGACGAATGCCACCTCCATGGCGCTGTTTATCACAAGTACCGAAAAGCTTTTCAAGGAAAAGGAAGTCACACATCATCCTCACAAACCAGGATCTGCGAGCATCAGGCCCAGAAACGTGTCTGTGTTACTAACTACCCAGGTAACGCTGATGTAAGTGGTCCCCGGAAAGCATTCTGGAAAACCAGAAAAGAATGGAGGTTGGAAGATAAACAAAGCCCAGAATGGTCCTTGCAAGTTAGCCACTGTCTATAAACACAAATCTCTGAGGACCAATCTGCTCCATCTTCCTTCATCTTTCTCACGCCAACGGTGCCACACCTGTACTCTCATTAACTGGGGTTGTCAGCTGAGCTCCAGTCAAGCAAGTCATCTTCTTTCAAACTGGGGTTGGCGTTCTCCATCCGTATCCAGCGCAGGCTGTCAGGAATGATATACCTGCTTAGAAAAAGCAAGTGATCATGTCATGGCCAACCTGTCCTAGGGCTTCCTCTGAACAAACAGCCCATGGCACTGAGAACAAACTGTTCTGTCACCAAGACAGGCTGCTAACGCCAATGACTACCTATACCTGTTGTCGCGAGCGCTAATGGTTAATGACATCCGTCTCTGAGGATGCTGCTAACAGTGTTCCATAAAGAATAAACATTCGCATCCACTATCCAGCCCTGACTTGTGTAAAAGCAAGCAAAAGAATGATGAATAATCACAATGCAGTAGTAGATTATAATGCATAATCAGTGTTTACAAGGCCCTGGCCACATGGCCAATCACCAATGACCTTTAGGTCACTTCAGCCATTACGGAATAGATATCCTCATTCTTCATCTCTTCCTGCCCTGCGCTTTTCCTCTGCCACCTGTCTATAACAATACAGTTGTACCTAGATGTGGTACCTATTTTCCCATCACTTTCCTTCAGACAAACCTGGATCATATTGGGCCACAGATGTGATTCTAGTTTAAACCCACTCATGTAGTGACTGGTTACACAGCGACAGCTGACAGGGTAGAAGTTACAAACTAAGGCCTCAGCCAACTTCCTGATTATTTTTACATACAATTTTCTTAGAGCGTGAGCCAAGCATTTGCATAATGTCTATAACTGCTGGAACAACAGTAATGCTGATGGCTAGAACGATGGTACTGGAAAGTTTAAAGTCACTGGAACTGTTTGTCTTACAATGCCTGTTGACCCCTGGCTTGAGCCAGCTTCTCAATCTTTGGCCTGCATCAAAGTCACATGGAGGACGAACTAAACACAAATAGCTGAACCCTGAGGAATTTGTAAAACTTCCAGGTAGAGAGACCTATACTGTTGCTGGCCTGACCCATAACAGAACTACCACCATGCACTAGAGCTGAGTGGATTTTAAATCTGACTGAACATTGCAGTCACTGAGAATACTCTTCAAAGCCTCTTCCCTGACGTATTTGGAGTTGAATCCTGGAGTATCAGTCATTACCTGGCAGGATAGCATCTCAAATATCCCACACTGACCTCAGACTGGTTCTGTAGCTGAGGATGACCTTGAACTTCTAAATTCTCATGCCTGCAATTCCTTGATGCTAAGATAAAAGATGTGAGCTACCATACCTGGTTTGTGAGATGCTGGGGATGGAGCCTAGGGCTTTGTGCATGCTATACAGGTACTCCCTAACTGAGCTACAATGAAAATTACAAGCTCTGTGGTAGCTCCTGTTTGGAGCTAGATTCTGAGCGCTACTCAGGAGCAACCCTTTAATCACTAAAGTATTCACTGAGCAGCTCCTAAGAAGAAGCAACTATAACAACAACAATTTTAAAGGCACAGTACAGAGCTTAAAGAAGCTCCACCTACTGGGAAGGAGATCACAAGTAAATAGCAAACTATTCATGAAAAGCAGGCTGGAGGAAGAAGACATCGTGGAAGTGGAGTTTCCTCTAGAGGAGCAGTCAGGCAGAGAAGGAAGAAGGGTGAGAGGAAGTTACCTGGGGAGGCAACACTTGAGTCAGCTTTGAAGATAAACATTGAGTGTATGGTTCACCATTTGAGGAGTTTAAGCAGGTTGAGTAGGGCAACATTCTAGACTGCGGCAGGGGCATGACAGACATCTGGCTTGAGTGACTTGAAATGTGTCCGATCCGTCTCACGGCCACTCGATTAAAAAGTCTGACCTCTGCATTAGAGGTTGCGGGGGTAGGTGTGTGTTGTTCTAAGCCAGAGCATCAACTCATATGCAAATTTAATCATAGTTGCCAAGTACGTATTCCATAAAGCTGTGGTTGCTAAAAGGACATTAGATGTAATTGAAGACCCTTCAGGCTTGTCTCAAAGCTTTACACACTGTAGTGACCATCAGCCTATTCTAGGTTTGCCATGCTCTCATCTATCTAAATTTCTTGTTTTCAGTTTTTTTTTTTTTTGTACATCTCAAGAACAGGCACCCAAACATTATTCACCACTGGTAGAGATATACATCATGCCCTAATGTAACATTCTAACTTGAAGGGAAAAAAAATCAAATCAGCATCCGACAAGTACCTAAGCACCATTTACAGGAAACATAGAAAACCCCAGGGAAGAAGAAAGAAAATGGCAGAACAATTCAGTGCAAAGCAAATGGCTCATTTGAATAAAGTGTGAGGGAGAGAGACCATTATGTCCCTCCAAAACTGATGTGTTAAACCTCTAGCCCACACAACGGTTGTATTTGGGCACAGAGCCTTAAAAGACTTAAACTAAGTTAAATGGGGCCATGTGTGTGGTCCTTGACACATCATTGGTGTCCTATAAGAAGAGATTAGGGAGTATGTGCAGAGGAAAGACACAGAGTACCATAACCCACAAACCAAGGACACAGACCACAAGAGAAACCAATCCTGCCAACACTTTGACCTTGGCTTTAAGCATCCAGAATTACAAGAAACAAATTTCTGCTATTCAAACCACCCAGTCTGTTTTATCTTATTTTGGTGATCCTAGAAAAGCTAATAGAGGATTTATGAGCAGAAGAAGGCTAAGATGTAGCAGCCAATTGATATGTATGAACGTTATTTAAATAATGGATCAAATTGTAAAAAACCAATCGCATGCATGCCTACAGAACAGGAGTTCTCAAAAGACACTTAATGAATTAATTAGTAACTTTCCTTTATATTCATGGCTGATGCCTTGACATTCACTATTTTACATGCCTACTAGAAGACTGAAATTGGACCCTAATAATGATCCAGAGACACCTTTTACAATTTCTGGCATCAGTTGGGATAAGTCATATTGTCCAGTTTGAACGCTTTCTGCGAGGAATGAGGTATAGTCTCCCATTAACCTCATACTCTTTGATGGATTTGCAAATTGCCCTGCCCAGATATTCCCCAAGTCCTGGTTCCCTACATGTTTCTGGTATCCACGCTATGTTAGTTAGAGTTTGTATTGCTGTGAAGAGACACCAGGACCACAGCCACTCTTATAAAGGAAAACATTTCATTAGAAGTGGCTTACAGTTTAAGAGGTTTAGTTCATTATCATCATGGCAAGACATGGTGGTGTACAGGCAGACGTGGTGCTAGAGAAGGAAGAGGGAGTTCTACATCTTGATCCGCAGGCAACAGGAGCCTGTGTCACACTGGCAGGATTTGAGCTTAAGAGACCACAAAACCCACCTCCACAGTGATGCACTGTCTCCAACAAGGCCACACCTATTCTAGCAAGGGCACACCTTCTCTAATGCCACTCCTAATGGACCAAGTATGCAAACACATGAGTCTATGGGGCCCATATCATTCAGATCACTACACAGGGGTATGCTCCTCTCTACAGCTCCTAAACACATTCTTCCCTTTATCAAAGACATCGTGACCTCAGATGTCTTCCCAGCCTGCTCTTTGCTTTGACATTTTTATTCTGTCATTTTTGCAGTGAGAATTTCTTCCTTGGTGAGATGTAAGCAATACCTACAACTCCTCAGAAGGTCCAAACAGCTATCCAAAAGCATGACTTCACCAAAGTTCACACTAGGGGATGAATAGTGCTTTAGCCTTACTTACAGGTCATAGATAAAAAGTCATACACTAGAGCATCATGGGTGACCCTTTAGCAGCCACACTGGAGGTTCTGCCTCTGACATGGGTAATAACTTCTCCATGGTCTGGAGAGACCCCTTCTGTTAGCCTTCCCCAGTCTATGTACTGTAGCACCTCCATCAGATCATGAGGTAAAGCGAATAGAGCAGAAGTACATACAAATGGCTGCTGGGAACGATGGCTGGATACTCAGTGAGGGTGCAATAAGCCTCCCCACCCTCTACTCATTTGAGGGGATATTGAGCAGGCACGGCAGACACCGTGATGATGGCAGATGTTTTGATCTGAAGACTGCATTCTACAACACACGTTTCTTCTGAAAAGTCTTCCCTGCACATCTCGGTCCTTAACTTTTAACCCTGTTGCAGGCCACATATTCTTTTCTCACTGTCTCCATGGAGTAAACTGGATAAACTCTCTGAGGGCAGGGACTATCTCAATCACTGCTATATTCTATGACTCAGCATAGAGCCTATTATGTTGAAAGGACTTGTGTGAGTGAAGTTTTTTCATCACTGTGACCAAACACCTAACATAAGGGCTTTATATGGACTCCTGGCTTCAGAGGCTTGAGTTCATCTCATTTGTGAGAGCCAGGCATGCTGGGCAACTCACTCTATGGTAGAACAGAAGGAGAAGGGGACAGCAGCAGGAAGGGCCCTAAGTAAGACCGAGCTCCCAAGAACACATACACAGTGACCTCCTTCTCCATCCGGCTCCGCCTTTCAGTTCCATTACTTCTGGGTGTGTTTGCTCTAAGGTAAATTAAATGATGGGTTTGGTCAGTGTTCTGACGGTCTAACCCTCTCCAGCCCTGCCACAACACAGGCACGCCTAAAAGAGTGCTTCACTGATTAGGTGTTTATCAATAGCAGTCAGACTGACAGCCCAATATTAACGGTCACAGGACTCAGCCAATATTTCTTAGACAAAGGAATAACTGATAGCAATTGTTAAAGCAGGGTGTCCTAGCTCCAAACCATAACAAATGTTTTCTTACTCTTGCCTCTTTTCAAAGGGCTCAGCCATGAGTCTGGAAGTGAATGAACACAGACTATCAGCCAGTCATCCAGAGTGCGGTACCCTGCCTATAGCAGGTCACCACACTGCAACTGGATAGCCCAAAGATACTTTGCAGCCAACTGCAGACCCCCCTCCCCCAGACCCAGGTATCTGCATCACGGTGAAGACAAGAGTCCTTGGGGACAACTCATACACACCAATAATTCCATTAGATTCTCCTCACTGGAAGCCTTGTTTGCATCTGCCACTGTTTACTTTGGCTTCCACAGACTCACAGCCTCTGTTTACAAATCCAGACGAAAGAAGGAGAGGAATTCCAACAGCGGCTGCTTTGCCGAAGTGGTTCAGTGGTTCTCTTTCTTGGTTTTCATTGTAGAAAGGGTGTGGAATGTTGTTGGGTCGTTGGCTGCACGTTAAAACCACCCAGGTTCCGCTGGAGTCAAGCTTCCATCTGTATTGGCATCATCTTGAGCCTCGATTTTCTTATATTTTAATGGAAGAAACTGATGCAAAAATTGTGATTAGAACCAGCATATTTAAAAAAAAAAAAAAAGGCTGCATCATACAGAGAATTTACTTCCTCACTTGGTATCTCACTGTTTAAACTCCCAGTTTGAACTCTAATGTGCCCTGTTGCAGCCAGGTCCCTGAGGCTGCCCTTACTTCTATCCACTCTCCTTGGGAAAAAAATGATGAGCATCCTGCTTCTTGATTTACGATGAATCTCCCTCCTCCTCGTTCAAGCATCTCCCCAGGAAGATGCTTCCTAACTTAGACTGAGAACTTGTCAGCCGCAGAGGTTAATCATGTCTCCATCCAATCTGGCTGAGTGGCTCTGAGCACAGTGTTTGCTTTCCTTGTGACTCTGCCTCTTGATGTATAACGCAGTTTGATGGTGGTAGCTGTCTGTGCAATACACACTGTCACTGTGACTATTAAAACTTCATCCAACATTCTCACCCAGTGCTACCCTCCTGCAGGAGCTGCGAATCCAAAGATCAGAGTTCCAGTCAGCTTTGTAGTCAGAGGTACAGTAAGTTCACTGAGGCTCAAGAGATGTGGGCGGAAGTCAGCTTGAGTCTGTCAAATGTTTATGACTAAAGAACCCCAATGAAAAATGCTTAAGGAAAAGCTGGGTACATGTATCTAGATGCTTAGGGAATAAATGAAGAAATATCAGAATGGGGCTGACTAGGTGTTCAGCTGAAGGGACAAGGTAAGAACAGGAGATTAGAGGAAGGCTTCAGGGAGGAGGATGCTCTAAGAAAGAGGCTAGAATCTGGGAAGCTAGGGGAGGATGCAGAAAGCTTTGCTCAAAGATGGAAAAAGAAGTGTGTCCAATTGATTCAAAGTACAGAGATATATTACTGATCACCACTGGTTTAGAACTATCTTACATGCTGCCTGTCCCTTGAGGGAAGTCAATTAAAGAGTTAATCAAAGAGGCTCCACCATTCATCATCAGACTGCAAAATGTTAATGAATCGGTCCTCACATCACCTGGTTTATATAGATAGGATTCCAGTCGCCATAAGTGTCAACAGTGTCTTTCATTTCATAGAGGCTTGTGGTCTCCCAGGCAGACAGGGTAATGCTTTGTGGGAAACTTCAGGACATAGGATTGCAAACAGCAAAGTTCCCTGGGTTGCTTTGGTGGGGTGATGGGTACCACAGCCAGGCTTGGGGAACACCCATGTCTATAGCTCCCTCCTGCACCCTGTCCACAGCTGAAAAACTACACTATATCCTGACCCTCAGAAGGCCTGAAATTCATAGAAAATAAATAATTTCATGAGAATCACATAAACAGATCAGACATAGTCATAGAAATGACCCTTATTTTCTCAAATCTTCCTAGATCTTTTCTGTCCAGCGAGCTACTTAACATGGCAGATGTACTAATATTGGGAGAGAAGCCAACTAGCAAAGGGAGAAAATTGGTCTCCTGAAAGAGTGGCTTTCAGGTACCCCACAGAGGTGACTGATTGCTGTGAAGAGGGTGTGTCCAGGGGTGATGCTAAGCTGGGGTGGAATTGCCCAGGCTTGGCGGTCTCTCAATTATGTAAAAGGTTATATTATGCTGGGCACTCAGTAGCTCTTTTAAAAACATGTTCTAAATACTTTCAGTGTCCAGTTTCTCTTCGGCTTAACCTGGAACACAACCACAGGAGTGTTCTTTCCAAATTACCAATCAGACCGTGTCTTTTTCCTGCTCAGACACAGTACCGGCTCTGCCTTAGTGGTGGAACTGAAAACAAGCTTGGTGGACGCTGCCACAGTATACCTCGTTCTTATTTCTCTTTCTATCACGGGCATTGCAACTTCACGTAGAACCCTCCAAGACAGTGACACTTATCTTACTCATGCCTCTGGGAATAGTTTGATTCCTGAAACAATCCGTTTTGTCACTAATAGATATTCATTATCTATTATATATCCCTCTATCAGTTACTGAGATCCACTGACAAACTAGAATGACTTTCTGCCCTCAAAGTTTATACCATTGATCATTCTTGGCAGCACATCAGAACTGTCCATAGGACTCCCTAAAAGAAGAAAAAAGAAAAGAAAAGAAAAAGAAAAACACAAACAGCAATACAAAAACAAAACAGGAGTTTGGGCTTTATGCCAATATCTCTAGATGAGGCAAGGAGGGAAGAAAACAAGCCACAAGAGAATAGGGGAGCTGACTTTGCTTCTGTTACTCTCTCGGGAAGCAATGAATGGACAGGAAATCGCTTGCCATCAGATCCCCAAACACTGCTGTTCAAACAGGTGTCTGTCCATGGCTTACCGGGATGCCCCACCCTTCTATCTGCTACCTGACACAAGTATGAACATTTTACTCCCAAATGTTCTAGCCTAGATGATGAATTACAGTCCCCTTACTCTGCACTGAGGTTTGCCTTCTTCTTGCTGTAAGAACTTGCAACACCTTGAGCCTCGGTCTCACAGTGTGAATCTCACAGAGTGAGCAATGTCGACCTGAGAATTAAACGGGGACTGTGCCTAATGATTGCTTAGCACAGTAGGTGCTCTCTGCTCACAAACTGTTGTCATTTTGGCCCTGTACGTATCAGCCCTCATGTACTGTGCATTATTTCATCGTCACAAAGCCAGACCTTAACAAAGGAAATGTTCGAATGGAAAGCAGGAGAATGGATGGCTATGGCAAGGACCATCGTTCACGAGACCTGAATTGGATGGCTGCAACACAAGACAAGCCTCTATTGAACTGCGTCACAATGTTTAAACTCCAGCTCAGCCAGAGGAAGCCTTCCCACCCTCCTCACCAGGTCAACTTTCTTGGAGAGTTGAGTCAGTTCCCTGCAGTGGGCCCAAATGGAGGGCACAGCAGGATATTTTGATATGTAGGGCCAGGCAGGAAAAAGGCACTGACACATTATCTGTCTGGGTAACTCATCAGATGGTCAGGTGGCCAGAAGGATCTGACCCAGCCTGTCTGAACAGCAATTTCTCCATGATTCATTGATGCCCACCAGAAAGCCCCGTTTCTAGATCCTCTTTTGGGCTTCTCCAGAGGACAAAAGGAACTTAGAAAAAAGGGATGTGGATGGGGTGGAAAGATCTCAATCTGGCATTTCTTGACTATAGTCATAGAGATTGAGATAGATGATAGATGATAGATGATAGATAGATAGATAGATAGATAGATAGATAGATAGATAGATAGATAGATAGACAGACAGACAGACAGACAGACAGACAGACAGACAGATAGATAGATAGATAGATAGATATGGACAGATGAATGATAGGGAAAGAGGAAAAAGAAAGAAAGGAGAAAGAAGAGGGAGGGAGGGAAGGAAAGAGGGGTGGAAGATGCTAGATATATTTAGATCCTTATAAAGGAACTTGGAGGCAGACAGGAAATAAACAATTTTAAGAAATGCTATCAGTGTAGTAGGGGCTATGCATAGCAAGGCAGAGGTCCACAGGACTGGAGGCAGTCACTAATTGTACAAAAAAAAAAAAATCAAAGCATCACAAAACTCACAACTCCCTGGATGAAGTTGCTTGAAAGTTGCCACATGAATGGATGGTTTAAAAGACTTAAAACTATTCAACTGAAGGCAAAGTGGATGGAAAGAAATACATTATATTTAGAGGGAAAAAGAAACCAAACACAATAGTTATGCAGTCTTGCTCTTGAAAGCTAGATGCTGAGACTGGTCAATATTCAGAGCTCTAGACTATCCCTGTGTTCTCTAGTGAGCAACACCTACCAGATAATTAAATGAGATACTGCCTACAAGCAGTTTGGTGTGATAAGTGTATCCAAGTCTATGAATACATTCTTACATATCAAACCTATAATATCATGTTATTCTCTTCAATCATAACTAAACAAAAATAAGTAAATGCTGTCTCCAGACATGGCAAACATCAGAATCCATGAAGGTCATTCTATCTACCAAGTTCTCTGCTGGATTTGCTCCTGTTATGAATGGCTTAGGTCAAACTTGGCTCTCTCAACCAGAACATGAGTTAAGGGATTCTGACTTTCTCTGTGACTACACGAAAGGTACCTGGTAAGGTCTCTGACTCCTGTTTCAGAGGAATGACTTTAAATTCATAAAAGGAAACAAGAGATTTCAAAAGTCACTAGTTATAAAATGGTTTTGTGCACACGTGTGCATGCACACACACACACACACACACACACACACACACACACACACACCGTGTACTAAGGTAACATTTGTCAGAGACTATGTGTAGGAGAAGACAGATTCTTGGTGCCAGAATTCTTCACAGTGCACATCTGAAGCCACATTCTCCTGCCTTTTGAGACAGAGGAGGGAAGTGATCAGGAAAGCTGTGTAATGGAGCTTCCTTGGACAGGGTCCTGGGATTGAACATACAAAAATGCAAGGAGAGACAGGAAAGCCCGAGTGAGTGGTTTGAGGCTCTCTCTGAAAGATGACAGCCTCAGAGCAAAAAGACAAGCCAGAGATAGAACAAGAGTGTCAGATTTAAGGAAAACAAAGTCACTCTAATCTGCAACATGGCAGGGTCCTGAGAAAGGACTGTCCTCTGCAGTCTTGACCTGTTGTAATGGCAGGGCAGGAGGCAACAAGAATATAAATCCATCTCCCTCTAGAGTAGATCCCAAGGTCACAGTAGGCACTGATATTGTGTATCACCTCATCAACTACTAAAGCTACCCTTTCATTTAGACCATGTGCTCCCGAGTCCAGGGCAAAAATTTGCAGCCCTGAGAGCCTGTACAATAGGCATAATCATAAGTCAATGCTAAGGAGAAGTGTTAGGTCCTGAAAATAAAGCTGAATGAGGCTTAGTTCCCATATCAAATCCTTTGTGGTCTCAAGAAGGAATCAAATAAAATTGTGGAGAACTCTCAGTCAAGGGTCGGCTATGGATGAAGACTTAAGTCAGATCCTTAGAACCCACACATACAAAGAAACAACAACAAACAAACAAAAACAGGTAGGAAGGCACATCCCTGTGATTCTAGCAGTGGAAATGTTGGAAACGGGGAATACTTAGAGCTCACTGGCCATCTCGCCTTGCTAATCAGTGAGGTGAGGTTTCATTCAGAGACATTAATCAAAATAATATTGATAACAAACAAGTTAACTCAATGCTAACCAGATCTTTCATAAGTATACACACTCATGTGCACACACACTTATATGTGCAAATACACATGCATAACACAGAGATACATACAAAGAAAAAGCCAGAAAAATATAAACCCATTAAAGTTCAAATATGATCTGCACTTTTTACCAAACATGGCTCTCCAACTTGAACTATATATATTTTGAAGACTCTGGTAGAGAAACCAATGACGTCTCCTATGGAAGAGCATCATGGATGCCTGGGCTATTCCAGGCACACATCCTATGCTTTCTCTTCTTACAACATTTCCAGTATTTTTTTTAACATGAGGTCCTGAATGTTTACATGAGAGCTAATATGTGGGCAAAACTAGGAAAGGGGGGCTATTTCCTACCAAGCATTTCCTTTCACCATATGACAGTATCCCCCTGCATGCTGCATTCTGTGATCTGTGAGCTCTCAGAGGCCCCAACCAAATGGAGCTCAATTTTGCACATCCAGCAAGCAGAAGTGTCACCTCAAACTGAGTACTGATTGGTACAAGATTAAAGTCATAAATAATAGATCACAGAAAGCCCTCCAAAGTGGAGTGCTACAGTTCCGGACAGGAAAGGTCACCGGGAGGAGAGAGGTGTTGTTTGGTTCTGCAGAGTGGGGAGGACTTGAATCGATGAAAGGAAACTGGAGGGGATGAGAGATGGAAGACACAGAAGACCCGAAGTCACCTCAGGAAGAAAGGTGACAGACAGTGACTCATGGGCTCTGCGAAGTTTCATTTAAGAAAAGCCAAGTTCAGAAAGAGTTGTAGAATGTCAGTGGCTGCCAGAGCTGAGTGATAACAGCAAAGATGATCTCTGTGCTTTTCCTGCTTCTTACTGTGATAGACTTCTTTCATGTAAGAGAGGAAGGGAAAAAGCACGTGGGATGGGAGGAATGGCGTGGACAGGTGCAGAGAGCTTTGTGAGCTTGTTGTAAGTGCAGAACAAAGAAGCCTCAAGTAGGGGCCCCCTACTCAGCTCCATAGACAGCCATAGTAGGGCAAGGGCAAGGGAGCAAGCTGAATACTGTCCTTGGTCCTGAACCAAAACTACCCCTTGGGGCTTGTTGCTTTTGTTTATCTTGAGACATTGGATCCCTGCCCAGTTCTCTATGGGAACTGGGGCTTTTGTTGGCTTTCTTTAATGACATATATATTTCTGATTTTATTCAGGTTCTATACTGAAAAAAATAGGCAAGCCAACATCAGAAAATGGTTATTTTCAGCCCAATATTACCATCTATTATTGATCAAATTCTCCCATATGCTAGGCGTGGTGATGAGCAGATTTTACACATTGTATTATACTATTGTAATTATCCTCATTTTACAGACAAAGAAGGAGACACAGAATGAGCTCATAAATGGCAGAATGGAGACTAAAGCCAGTCTCACAAGCACATTGCCCAGAAATTAGCCCACCACTCAAATAAGGCATATTCTAATAAAGCCTTAACTCACGGGGAGCAACCCTCCATGAAGTCATAGTCTCGATACTTCCAGACGTTCTCATCTACAAAGGGAGGGTTATGTGTTCCAAAGCAAGTGATTAAAGCAGGAGTACTTCATAAAACCCTCTGCACATGCTGGCAACACTTCCTAGTCTGTGTTATTTGATAGTAATAGAAATAAGAAGACACTAGAGCAGAAGTCAACAACATAAACTGTATTTGACTTCTATTTCTCAGGGAGGTAATCCAAGGCAAAAGCGGGGGAGGGTTGGGCAAAGAGAGAAAAGAGTTCAAGGCAGAATAGAACAGACATGACTCCCAACATTGTTGCCGTTCCTCATAGTGCCCATTCTGATTTTTAGTTCTACTTTATTTCTTTTATTTGATGATTACTATTTCTCTTCCTCTACATACTCTGTGAAGATGAATTCAATGATGTTTTCATAGCTAGATCATCATAGCCTTGCCCTAGGTTGGGTGCATACAGGGTGAACAATAAACATCAGGTAGGAGGAGTTTAATATTGAACACAGTGAAAGGAATTTATAAGTACCTGTAGAGAAAGAGCTTGGGAATGCAGAAATGTCTATTCTCTTTTATTCTGAGCATTGGAGATGAAGATCCTAGGATATTTGGTGGCCTCCTAGCCTCAGATTCCCCAGATAAGAATCAGTAGTGTTAGACCCACAAAATATTGCCAAAGAGTTAAAGCCACTAGCCCCAAGACTTGACAATCTGATTTTGACCCTCAAGACACACATGGTAGAAGGAAAGAACCAATTATCCTCTTAGTCTTCACAGCTATACAGCTATGTCATGGAATGTATATGTATACACACATATGCACACACATACACACATGTACACACACATATATATACATAGAGACAGAGAGATGTGATTTTAAATTATTTAGAGTAGTTATATCAGTTCATAAGGATCAATGAGATGCGGTGTGCAATGATGATGTCAGCTATCACTGATTGATTTCTATGCCAACACTTGGTTCATGCTGACTCTAATACTCTTAATAGCCCTAGAAACTTTCTATTATCCCATTTGAAGATGAAACAGCTAAGGCTTAGCAAGTCCCTAATAACTGTCACTAAATCCAGTTTGTCCATAATGAAGTGGCACTATAGAGGTTGGATAGCAAGGGTGCAGAGCAGGAGGTGACCCTACTCTGAGTTTGCCAGTGTCTAGGCAGCTACTCCCTACAGCAGGATACAGTCAGAGCCAGAGCCTGAAGAGAGGGAACTCTAATGCTGGCACACTCACCCCAGTATTCAAGTTCCAAGTAGGATAGGAAGCCATCTGGCTCTGCTGCTGCCCCCAGCATGCCACCTGGGTGTCCTTCATTCTTCCCTTCCTCCAGTCCCTGCATCTCAGACAAACCTGTCCTACGGGGAGCCAGAGCCAGAGCAAAGAAGCTGGGCTCCCCCTCCCTGCTTTGTAAGCAGAACAGAGGACAGCAGGAAATTGTGCCAAAGGTCATGGTGTTCCGGTCAGTGTGTTCCAGCTCTGAAACGCTGAGAGCTGCCAGGGTCTAGGCAAGAAAAATGCTGCAGGCTGATCCACCTGCCAGCTCCCACAAGCTCCAGCTGGGCTTCAGCCTCCTCAGTCACTGCACCCTGCCCAGTAGAGTTGAGGTCCCCAGAGACTCACTCTAGCCCCTGAAGCAGCTTGGGAACCTGTGACTGCAGAAATAGCCACGCTAGAAAGCACACAGAGCTTCAGAGATAAACCTGGAGACCTTGCTGCCTTTGTCTCCCAAAGCCTGCCATGCACCTCTGTATTCTCAAAGTCCCACGGAGCTAACAACCAAGTCTTCATTGCTGGGCTTTCTCTCCTCATCCTTATGAGCCTCTTTGTTTAGTGTTGTCTTCTCCCATCTGATGCTGATATTGCACACTTCCCAGGTACCTGACACAGGGCCAGGCAGGCTATGATGAATTAGTCATGGAAACACCTTTGCTCTTGTAGAGCAGATGGGGAGGGGGGAACGTTAAGCGTTAAATAGGAAAACTGAGATAGAATTAGAAATCTGAATAGGCACTATGAGGAAAGATACCAGGCCCCTACAGAAGAAGAAAACCATGGTGCAATCTCTAAGCAGGAAGCCTAGCAAGGTTTCTTCAGACAGGAAATGCAGAGGCTCAGGAATGAAGGAAAGATCAGCAGGAAAAAGCACTGTGGACAACAGTGATGTTGGGGTGAAGGTTGTCTAGCAATGGTCAAATAGAAGGGCCCTGGGGCAGGAGAGAGAGAGAGAGAAAGAGAGAGAGAGAGAGAGAGATTAAGAAAGAGAAGCAGTGACTCATAATGGATGCATGGGTTCCATGAATGAAGCTGTAGGATGTTGAAAGTACACCTGAGTTCTTGATGCCCCAGCTTCCCATAAGAAGGTGATGCAAGGATCTGGGAGAAAGAGGTCTTCCAGGCTCAAGAAATATAGCCACAGCTTGAGGCAACAAGTTAACTCATATAGTATGCATTTCCTCTATTTCGTCATCTAGTACACCAGCCAACTGGTCTAGTAGGATATTTATTTGAAATCGGGAAGAACGCCTAGAGAAACGAGATGGGGGGTCCAAGTCCCTGCCTTATTCTCCTCCTTACCATTGACTGCAGCAATCCGTAGGGAAGAGCTTGAAACAGGCTGCCTTTCCTGTCTTCAGGCATGCACATCAGACCAGCAAGCTCAGCAAGGGGAGTGCTAATGATCACAGCCCCCTTCACCCAGGGTTAGCTGCTGCCTTCTCGGAGCCTCTGTTCACTCTTCTCACAAGAGATCAGGATGTCTACATGAGGACAGTGGGGGTGCCTCAAGTGTCACTTTGACAAAGTGTCTCAAAGAAAGTCAAGTGACAGAAAAACATGAAAATCAGCATGGTGAGCTCCTCAGCATGACGCCAGCCCTGTGCGGAGGATGCTGCCAGTGGTGATCCTGAAGAGAAATCTTAATGTGATTGACGTTTTCATCATCACCAAAACACCACCTTTCTGGTTGCAACTTCATCTTCTGTAAGTTTTTCCCCTGGGTTGGCAGACGAAATGGGATTGATGGGCACAGCCCTCACAACGCTGAAGGATATCCTATAGAAGAATCCACACTGACTAAGGGACTCGGTGACGCAGACTCAAACCCGCCTCATGATGAGGGGCTTAGGTTTGCAGGTGTCCGGCTTTCCTAAGCCTCGTTTTCCTTCTCTGCAATGTGAGAGCAGTGGCCAAACTTCTGTGAACAGGTGATGTTTCTGTGCACACCATGGAAGGAGAAATTGCAGCTGTTTTCATCAATAAAGGCTGCTCTCTCAGCTTCAGAGTCTGGCCACATCTTCCCCAGACTCCTTACTTAACCCCAGACACATTCGGTAGAAGAGTAAGTTTGTGCCATTAACACACAGTGATTCAGCAGGCTTCCAAGGTCTACCAGATGTGAGGCTAGGCCCAGCTCCCATCGCTGGTGACTCTGGACAAATGAATGAATGAAAAAAAAATTAAGGCATTCCATGGGCGCTTTACATAATAGAAATGTCACATTCACTAGCCTAGTACCAGTGAAAATTACATAGCTCTTGTTCATGATGCTTTTCAGGGATGGCGGAGGTGATATAACTCTATGGCTTATCACAGAATAATACTCAGAGTACAACTGTGCCTCAGTTATCTGCCTGCAAAATGGGAATAATGATCATCTCTGTTGTGGAACCAACAGCAATGCCCATGTCATGCTTGGCTTGGTGCCAGGCGCATGCTTATATCGGAATGAATGTGACATGTTAGTAATAGAATAATCACTAGTTACAAGAATGGTAATGTTTGAAGATTACCACATCCCTCTCTGTCCTCCGCACACATGCGTAAAGCACTCCAACAGTATTCAAGGGCATCTGTTAACTCAGTGTGTACTTTCAAGGCTTTCTTCTGGCACCACACCGCACTCGGGGAACAGTTCACTCATGGACTCAGTCTGTTCCTGTTAACAAAGAAGGTAAAGGAACTCAAGTGGCACAGCACACACACACTTCTTCCAAGTGAGACAGGCCCTGGACAAGGCCATGGCCCTGGCTGTTAGGAAGTGGGAGGAAGAGGTAATTTCTGGTAAATCAGAACAGCATCTCTCCCTCTGTAGCTGTCAGTCAAGGTCTACTGCCCTCTGGTACAGCACTGAAGGTCAGATGCTCCTTGCTTGAAGCTGGCAGATCATCTCACTTCACATAAGATTGCTACATCAGCCTTCATCATTACCCCAAGTACTTCCACTCCCAGAGCGAGGGGCCATGCTCCACAGACTCTCTGAGAATATTGCCCGGGTCCTAAGTCAGCCATCACTGGGCATTGTTCAGGAAAGCCCTTCAGTCTCTAACTGAAGACTGAGCCTTTTTGTTTAGTTCATCCATCCATCCATTCATCAAGACATTTCTTGGGTAGCACTGCCAGACACTAGAGGACAGACACATCAAGCAAGACACCGCCAGGTTTTCTTTGTCAAAGCATATCACAAACAGAACACTTTGATTCAGTGTATCAAATGCAGTGACAAAGCCTACGGGGAGCAACAAACACATGAGGGATCAGCTCTTTGTGGAAGAAAACTGGCCATTTCTCTCCACCGCTCATCTCACAAACATGAATTAAGAAACCATTTTCTCGTCTACCACAGTCTCTGGAAACCCTCCTCTTGCATTTCAGCTTTCAGCATGCAATCCTGTTCATGCACCTTTCATGAGCTGGCTCTGAAATCAGGCTAGCATCTCAGTGCAGGCAATGCTGGGCCTGCTATGCGCTCTGTTGCAACTACAGCACACAACAGTAGTAGGCATGCCACCAATATTTATCAGTTGACAAAGTAACATTTGAGAGCCCTGCACTGTGAAAGTTCCATGCTAGACAATGGAGATGCAAGTACTATGTAGGCATATGTGAGGAGCCAGTCAGCAACATAAGTTGGCAAAAAAAAAAAAAAAAAAAAAACCACTCTAGACGAGTGGTTAAGTTGGGTAGAAGGGCACCGCCAACTCAGCAATTAAAGCCAAAAAACAATTGGTAATTGTGCCATCTATATAAAAGGAAATTTCATATACAAGAGAGAATACAAAATTAATCAAAGGAAAATAAGGCCTTATGCTTAACATTTTAACCTAGAATGGTATGCCCATACAAGAACAATCGGCATAAATTAGAGGCTATGAATATTCAAGAGGAGAAGCAGCGGAAAGACTTCAGAAAGTACGTAGCAAGCACCTAGAATAAAGCCCTTCTGTGTGTGCTCAGACGAAGTGGCATGAAGAAATCATTCCTGGAAAAGAAAGTATCACTAGGAAGATGAGAAACAGCCTGTTCTTTTCAGACAGCCCACTTCACCAGTCATCTAAAAACAGTGCTCTGGATGAACAGAGCCAGGAAGCCAGCCGGCTCTTCCAGGAACACCCTTCATCCATAGCTCTGAAATGCTGTGGATAACAACTTGCTGCCATGGTAACATATCTGGTCCTTTGATTTCAGCAAAAAAAAAAAAAAAAAAAAAAAAAAGTGTGACTGATGGGATGGCTCAACAGGTAAAGTGCCCAGAACCCAAATAAAAAGGCTGAGTGTGCGTCTCATGGCTGTGTAGGTGGAGTCAGACAGATCCCTGAGGTTCACTGATCAACCAGGCCAGCATCCTGGGGGGAACTGAGGCCAGTGATAGAGCCTGTTTTTTTTTTTTTTTTAAAAAAAAAGTGGATGGGAGAATAGAGGTATAACATATTCTTCTTGCCTTCATATGCATATGTATGCAAGTTCGTGTGTACTTATATATGCACATCAGCTCCCCTACATACACAAACATGGAAATGCACATCAAAACTGTGCCTTGAGACCATTTACAGGCAGTGAGGAAGGAAACACATACTCCCTCTGCTTTATTCCATAGAGAAACTACCACTAAGCATTCTACTCTGATACGATTTCATTCAGGGCTACTCACCTCAAGCCTCAGTCTTAGGCATGGACAAGAAGAGGCACCCTGAAAGCTAATCCCCTTGTGGGAATGACTAGGTTAGTTGTGGCAATTTGCCTCCAAGACATATAGAATCTTTCTCTGAATAAATACTCTGGCAGTAGGAGAGAGAGTCCTCTTCCAGCTGCTGCTGTTAACTTGGAAAACAGTGAACCTGAAAACATCTGCAGTTATCTTCTCCCAAGGGAACTCCACTGTACGGCATGATACCAGCAAGGGAAGCCAAGGTGAATGAAGAATGGAAAATGAACATGCAACCTACTTTAGTTCTGAGCACATGGCAAACTATAAAACCTGAGTGGTTGAGCTGGGTGCGGTGGTGGTGCACACCTTCAATCCCAGCACTTGGGAGGCAGAGATAGGCAAATCTCTGTGAGTTTGAGGTTAGCCTGGTCTACAAGAGCTAGTTCCAGGACAGCCAGGGATGTCACATAGAGAAACCATGTCTTGAAAAACAAACAAAAAAAATCCCACACAAATAAACAAGCATAAAACCTGAGTAGTTGAAAGCATCGGAACAAGATAATTTTCAGAGATCAATAGCATCACCTCAAATCCCAAAATTGTAATCTTGGAAGGGATCTGATCCAGTCACTTATCTGATGTTCAAATAAATCTGTCTGTCTTTTGTTTATGCTTTTCTCTTAATGAGTTTCATTCTGCTGGTTTAGCATAGTTCAGTCAACCAATGTTGGTGTCACAGTCAATTCAGGTAGTGCGTGAAGCACGAAGAACTCCTGTTTAGAAGTTCTTCATTTAGTTGTAGAGAAGAGCAATAAACAATGAATATGTAATACATTGTTAATGGTTAAATGCAAGTGCTTAGCAAGAAATAAAAAGAGTTTTGCTATGTCTTTGGGTGTGTTAGTTATTAGATAACCAAGGAAGACACTGATGGCCATTTTATCTAAGCAGAAGCATAAATGATGAGAGAACACAATTGCATCTCCATCGAAACACAGAGAGCAGTAGCATCCTATGCAGTAGTCACTGAGATGGAGAGTAGTATCCTGCATGCCATGGGACAGCCAGAAAGCAAATGCAAGAAGATCTGGGTAAGTATAATTGTCAGGAGTGGAGGCCATAAGACTGGAAGGTTTCAGAAGCTATGATGCAGAAAGGCGGTTAGGAAGATTGGCGAAGAGAAATAGACACATTGATGCTCAGTGGCATCCAGGAAATAGGAAAGAAAATCAAGAAAAGCACTCTGAAATGAAATTTTAAATTAGATAGATAGATAGATAGATAGATAGATAGATAGATAGATAGATAGATGATAGACAGATAGATAGATTGATAGATAGATATTCATACACACACACACACATATATATATGTACACACACATATATGGTGGCTGAATCAGTTGGTAGTCCCTCTATGGAGTATTCATAGTGTGTTTGTGTTTGTTTTAGCACAAAGAAAGTATCTTTGTAGAAATGTCAGAAAGTCACTTTGTCATTCCACCACTTCCTAAAATGGAAAATCAGAATGTATTGACACAAGCTATAACTGTGTTGACAGAGACTGAGACAAGATTAAGACAAGGTTTTGATGGGAGAGTTCACAGGATGTTGAGGTAAATTAGAACTTGTTTCCCAGAGTTTTCTATCAGAAATGTCTATTCCAGATCATAAAATCTCTCTGCCTGTCTTGTTATGCATCTAAAATGCTTTGTAAAGATATCCCTCTCCTTTCCAACATAAAAAAGAGCATTTAGAGATATGAAGAGAGAACTACTATCATAGAAAAGAAGATTCAACCAGACATTCAGAAAGCTGCAGCTTGTTTTTGAGAGTATATGATTCTCTAAGACCACAGGCACAAGCCTAAAGAGTACCCAAAGCCAGTCAGAACTCTTACAGGGCAGAGGATAAAACAGAGAGAAGGAGAGATAAAAAAGACTTTCTCCCATTTACAATGCTTGATCTGGAATGGGTCACAAGACCAGATGTGGATATAGATGAACCAAGATGCGAATTCTAGACATGACCCAGGGGACCTGGTTGAGTGTTAAAAAGAAGTCTCTTTAGCTCCCTTAGGCTAAGTTCTATTCATGGAACTATAAGTACTTTGTGCAAGTTGGAGTCTCATCCTTGACAGGCATGGCAAGGGACAGTGATGGTGATGATGACGTGGGAGCTAAGAAAAATGAATTATTAATTTTTTAAAAAGGTTCTTTGGGTTACAACAAAGAAAATAAAATGCCTAAATAAATGTATTAGTTATGGTAGCTGAAAGATGGGAATAAACTTCATGTACAGAACGTTTCAGAATTGACGGATTGCAAGAGCTCAAATGAAATGTCATTTCTCTCCATCTTGCAAATCTACTTGTTGCAACTTGTCTGACTAAGGAAAATGGTCCAAGAGATGTCAAAATGTACATGCTCTGCAGGAGACCACAGATAAAATTGATGGCTGACATCACATCCAATTCTATGAAAACTAGAAAACATTGGAACAAGACATCAAAGCACCACTAAAGAAAAAAATGAGGAAACAAATCATACAGAAATTACTGAGCTGGTGATGTGACTGGGTAACACATTGCTTGATTGGCAGGTATCAGGTCTTAGATTTCAATACGTGAAGGATGGGGAAAGGGGGAACACAAAAAAAATGGAGGCAGAAGAAAAGAGAAAGGAAGAAAAAAACAGAATTATGTATCCAATTCTATTTCAAAATGAAAGTGGAATAAAAACATTTCTATTAGTTGAACATTAACTCAAAGACACAAATTATAATCCCTAAAAAGTCACTAGAAAACCACCAAAGAAATATAAGCACAAAGAAGAGGGAGACATTAAAGTAAACACTAAAAAGTTCCTGACAAAGAAAAACACAGAAGAGAATGAATATGAGGTGGGCGTAAGAGCCCAGAGCAATATGGATGACTTGATATAACCAAGCCAACAATTACACTCTCTGCGCATCCACTTAAAGCTCTAAGCAAAAAATGAAAAGCAATCTATAAAAACCCAAGGAATGACTATATTCTGCATGTAGGAGACATACTTGATACTAAGAATACAAACCGATTAAAAGTAAAACAGTAAAAGAGTTATCATTCTAATACACATTAGAAATCAAAAATGTCGCAGTTGCCGTGCAACAACAAAAATAGCAAAGGACTAGAGACATGGCTCAGCAGCTACGTGTGTTTGCTGCTCTTGCAGAGGACCCACGATCAGTTCCCAGCACTCACATGGGGGCTCACAACCATCCTTAGGTGGGAGCAAGGAACACATACACACACACAGGCCGAACACTCAGATACATTAAATAAAATAATAGACATCAAGATTACCAGATGCACTAACAGACTTTTATGATGGAAGCTCAAAGATAAGAGGGAAGGAGGGAGAAGAGGGGAGGGCGGGGAAAGGACTGTTTTAAGGCTCATTTCATGTCACTGATTGTCTGATAGGAAGATTATGGTATTCAGGACACTTGCTCTCCTTCCCTAAATTAGTGCATGGAAAGCATATATTTTACGAATCTATATAGGTCCTAAATTTATTAGCATATTTTATCTCCCACCAGAGCAAAAACTCTAGAACTATGAGGACCTATTTTTGTTATAGTATGTATACTTCCATTTCCCAGCATCTAGAACAGTGGTAATATATCCTGAGTACTCAAAGAATGCTGTTTGAAACAGGCATGCCTGAGGACACGCATGAATGAAAATGCTATCAGAGAGCCTGTGGCTGCACCCACGTTCCTGAATGCCACTCCTGCATTCTTCTCCTTTGTCCCCACATGGAAGGAAGTACATCCCGCCAGTGCCTGTGAAACTCAGCTCATAGCTCAGAACCGATTCTCATGGCAGTCAAAATAAAAGAAGCATTTAGACAGATGAGACAGGAAATGACCAATGGCCACAGCTAATGACATAGCTTCGGCCGGCGGGGGAGGGGGGGGGTGGAGAGCTCCTCTGCAGAATGAGCCACAAGGAGCCACAGGAATGTGAAGCAGGAACATTTTTAATGATTGCTCAAATGAAATGATACAGTTTGCCTTCCAGTTACTCTCTGATAAACCCGACAGTCACCCTGCAAACTTCAACCACCGGTTAGTCAGCATGAAGGCTTCCTGCATCCAAGCCTCCTCTGAGGAAAGTGGCCAGTCACACTCAGCAGATGGGAGAATTAGAATGTCTCATCTCTGGAGGGTAATGGACCCTTCAAGCATCTCATAAATACTATAGGTCCTGTGCTCAGAAAAACCTATTTCCACAAGATGTTTTTCATGTACTTTGATACAGTCGAATGGCCCCTGTGAGTTGGTCCTCAGAACATGTGGTATCAAGCCACGTGTTGCATTTTGTAGGTCCTAGCATCCAGAAAACAGAACATCTCATCTAAGCTTTCAAGAAACAATTGCACACAGACGGCCTCTGAATAATCTAAGGTTATTTGTAGGGTTTCATGAGTATTTTTGCTTTACCTAAGCAGACATAAAACTTGCAGCCATCTCTGATGAATAAGGTATGTGGCTCCGCTGGTTAGCATCCAGTTTGGAGAGGAAATGCATGAGCAAAAAGTAATGAGATTAGGGTCTGTGCATGAGAGGAATGCTGACTTCAATCCTGACCCTCTCCTTGCATGTGTGATTGTGAATGCATTACTGAACAGTCCTGAACTTCTGTTTCTTATTATTCTGGGAAGTGGAAATTAAACGACCTGCCTCATGTGCCTTTTGTCAAAAGCCAAATAGGATAATTTTGCAGAGCGTTCACTGCTATTGGTAGTAGCAGTTTCATCACTAGGTTTGGAAGTAACGTTCATACACATGCACACAGGTATTCGCAAGGCACAGACGTAGAAAGGCGGCTTTGGAAACACGAGGTGGAGAAAGAACTATAAAGGAAGTAGGAGTTAGAATAAGAGAGTCACAGAATATATGTGAGGTAAGAGGAGAAAGGGAGCTGATTGAGGGAATATAAAGGGGACAAAAAGAGAGAAAGGGGGACATTGAGACTGGCAGAGAAGGGAATGAGCAAGGACAAAGACATTTCACACACACTGTATGTGAAAATGTTATAAAGAAAATCATTACCTTTTATGGCAAGCTTTTTTTTAAGTTTCACATGTTTCAAAACTGGAGACTAATGTATTTTGACTCAAGGCAATGATCGTGGGCTAAAGGTCTAGACATCCACTGTATCAAGCATAGTGTTTCCATAGGGAGCTTTGGACGATTGGCAGAAAAGCCATTCCACAAGAGCCAATCTCACACTATAATGTGGGAGATGGATGTTTCTTGCAGAACAGACATGATAATCATACAGTCAACCTTGAAGGCTTACAGTGCAATACACTTCTTTTGTGACTCAGCATTACCTGTTGCCCATAACTGCTACCCCTTGCTCCTACCCCAGGACTGGCTGTGGAGCAAGTTCTGTTGGCAGAATCGGGAAGGAATGTCAAATATGGTGACTCGCGCATTATCTCCTACCCAGCACTAACATCCATCACTTCCACTCACCCTGAACCGACAGTGCAATCTCCTAGGTAGATGGGTGGGGTCCCTCGTGGAGTGGAGCAGTCTCAGCAACAGAGCATGGAGCTAAAACCTGAGAAAGCAAGCAAAATGACCAGTTGAGAGAAAGGAGTCCTCAGCTGACAAAGGACTAAAGTCACAACCAAATCAAAATGACCGTGACCAAAAAGAGTAGGTTAGCAGATAAGCCACAGACTGCTTCGAGGCTACACAAGAAAGAGGGAGACCAAATGAATGTTGCTGTCACCCTTCAGAAGAGGGGATGTTTTAGCTATCCGAGAAGAGCTTCCTGGCATACGAGGCAAGCAGCTTCTGCCTTACTGGCACCTAATGACAAGTGGTTCTTCGGGTGGCCGTGGGAATCATCCAATAAAACTGTGATTGTGGAGTACTTAGCTTGTGATTCTTGTATGCTCTGTTTATTAAATCCAAAGGTATCTCTGTGGTGTGTAGAGTGTGTGTGTGTGTGTGTGTGTGTGTGTGTGTGTGTGTGTGGAGAGAGAGAGAGAGAGAGAGAGAGAGAGAGAGAGAGAGAGAGAGAGAGAGAGATATCAACGGGATCCCCTTCACATATAGTAGCTGGACACTGCAAAGATGCTGAGCACCTCATTCCCAGGTCTACTTCTTGATGGTCTCATGTTAACAGCCTAGAATGCCCACCTACATTCTATACTTTACACTACCAAGTTCATTGCTACCTTTTTTCTCACTTCCTCCCTATACTTCCCCAAGTACAGCATCCTGTAGCTTCTCCCTAACAGAACAGAACTCTATACCTGATGTTTTCCAAGATCTCTGACATACAAATCATATACGAGACACAGCTCTTGACCCCCTTTAAGTCATTCTCAGCCCCGCCCCCTCTTTCCTAGTTCTCCGGTCTTACTGACTTTCCAGTTGCTACTTCAGAAGGACAATACTTGAAAATGATACACCTCACTTTCCTGCTTTTCATTCCAGGTCTGTGTTTCCCGCTCAAGTCTCCTTGCATATCCAACCCAGGATGGAAGTGGCTTTGGGTTGTTTCAGTCCCTGCTCTGGACTCCATCCACCCAGGCACAGAAGGTTGAGCCTGCTTCTCATTGTAACAAGGTTGCACTAATTAGCTGCATTTGATTTTGCACAGGAGAAAAATGCAAATGAATGCAAAGTAGTATGCAAATGAGCAGTATCTTGGCTCTCTCCAAGACTGAGCCTGCAATGCTGATGCCAATGACAATGTATATTAATAGCCACCTAAGCCAAGCATGTTCTGTTTTCAGATGGCGTGAGCATCAGGGGGTTTCTCTTTTTCTCTGTAATAACTGTGACTTTATATCGAACTCCAAGTTTATGATCCTGGACAAGAAGCCCACTGGTCACAATGCTGTCCTCTCTGGAATGGATTCTTGGTGCCACTAGATTTATTGGAAAATCAGCAAACTTGGAAACCAAGTCACATAAACTGTCGTTTAAAATCTTGACTTTAGGCTGGCATGGTGGCATATCCCCATAATCTCAACACTTAAGAGACTGTGCCAGGGGGAAAATCTCAAGCTTAAAGCTAGCCTGGCCTACATAGAGAGTTGTTTTCTCAAAAACAAAACAAAAACTAGTCTTTACTTGAATGAATTGTTTAAGCCCAAATGTCTTCTTGACTCTAAGCACTGCACTTCAGAGCAACAGAGAAAAAGGCGAGGACTGCATGGAAGGATGCCTCCCTTCTCTGAGACACAGAAGAGATCAGTCATGTCCATCTCTTTTCAGAGGCCTTTCCCTCATGCAGAGACTAAAGTAGAAAGTAAAGAAGAGTGGGCAGAGCCCATCCCTGACCTCAGTCCCTCTACTATTACTTGTCATATCACCCACTGACTCCTTCTAGTATGAAGCAGTGAAAATAAAATACAACCCTGTCATTTTATACAAAGAGCTCCACGACCTTGTACAGTCCAACCCCTCAGGCATGAGCAGAGGGCTCTGCCTGCTTCCTAGTGTGCCATTGTCTGAAAAAGGGGTGGCTTTCCTTACAAAATCCACCCTAAGGAACTCAGGGCTCCCAGGTAATGGCTCCCTCTCTCAATCATCCACCCTGAAGCATTTGCTTAGCTTATCTCTCCTAAGCAGACGAAAAGTTTCTCATGGGCAGAAACATTTCTGAATCACCTCTGCATCCTTAGCAAGTAGAGGAAGACTCGACCCAGAACAGGTGCTTTAGGGTGTGGGGAAGAATCAAGGAATGATGGAGTGTGTGGGAAGAGGCATGACCATCAGAAGGATAAGAAATTGAGAGAAGGATTGTAAAGGAGGATGAAAGGGGGAGGGAGAGGAAGGAAGGGGTAATGGAAGAGAAAAGGAAGAGAGGAAGAGGGAAAGGGGTGCAGGCAGGCCCTCTACCTTAGAGAGAAGAGTGGGTTCTCCATGGAAACCAAAGTGCCTGTTTGCTTTAGGATGCCACCAAAGAGGAAAATTGTAAATCACTTTCCAGGCAGGAGGCAGGATGATTTCCCCAGCTTTGACAGCTAAATTTGAAAAACACTTCTATCAGTCTCCATAGATTCTGAGCCTCCCACCTAGGCCAGGTGCTATGACAGCTATAAAAAAAAAAAAAAAAAAAAAAGCAGCCACAGACATAGCATTTCACCTTATACTTTACTTATAGACAAACAGTTGGGCGGGATCATTTTACCATTTTGTCAACCCTCCCCCGTTCCTAACAGCAAAGAAGAAAGAAATGGAGCAAAGGAGACAGAAAAGGTAAATGGCAGCCAAACAGGCAGAGAAGGTTGGGCAAAGATGACTGACCTGCTGTAGCACCAGGAAGGGTATCTTACCTAGACACAGGTCCTGGAAGTGGAGAGACTTGAGTCTGAAACTCTGCAACCCCTTCCTAGGCCAAGCAGAAAGGCCTAGGAAAGCTTTTCACGTACTGGCATTCTTGTCTTGGAATTAAAGGCAATTTTCTCTTGCTCTCATGGGTGGTTATAGGAATGCAAATTATATATATATATATGGAGTCAATGTAAGAACTTGGCAAAGGATTATGTGCCTAATAAGCCTGAGTAAAGCCTTCTTCTTCCTTTCCTTTCCTCTCCATTTCTGGTACTACACAGACCTCCTTGATCCCTCAATATCTCTTTTTGGGGTTACAATTAAGTGCAGTCAACTACAGTTTAAAATGACCAAGGAAAATTCCAGAAGGGTTGAACCCTTACGTTTTTAAATTGTGGACCATTATTAGTTGGGCAGATAGACTTCTGCTGTGAGTCATCCACTGCTCCAGCATATCCTGGCTATATGCACTACCCACCCATGTAGTACTCAGCAATCTGCCAACAGAACAATTGTCCTTGCAGAGCCTACATCCAAGTAATCATTGTTTGAGCCAATAGTACCTCCAAATCATGAAAGTCATGGTGCTGGTGATTATGATGTGACAAACAATATGTATAATATGTATTTGAGTCCTTGAAAAATAGACAACTCTTTCTCACGGATATGTATACACAGGAAATTAAGCATATATAGAGTCTATCGTTTAGGCATCATAGGAGATGTCAAGATTTAAGTGCTTGAAATGGGACACATCAATTTTCTCTCAGTTAGGGTCAGAATTTGGGTGAGGCTTTCCTGGTGATTCTGACTCTGAAATCCTGGGTGTCTGGAAGCTGAGACTCTGTGATCCGTACCCAAGGAGGCTACTTCCCCTGACTATTGGCAGAGAGCCTGGTTTTCATGGTGACTGTCACCAGGAAGTTCATTTTGTAGCTACAAAGTCTTCATAGAAAGCTGCTTAGGTGTCTTGTAAGATGGCCACAGGTCTCTTTTTAAGTAGTTGTTCCAAATTCTTCATTAGATTAGGGAGTCTTTGATCATCGTGTCTGCCATTATTCTGTTGGCAACACCTGAACACAGGACAACACGACATACTGACAGTCAGCATTTATTGAGCGCTTACTATGTGCCAGACCCATTGCCAAGGGAGTCACCTGACGTGGCTCAAGTCGTGACAACATGCCCAGGAGGGGACTAGAAATATTCTCATGATCTAATGCCCGGCACTTGGGTGCAAGTGCTGTCGGGTAAGTGGTGCATATTGCAGCCTTAGCATGGGCACCTCTGTCTTTACCACAAGAAAACACCCTTGCCTTATTTCTGTGCCCTGATTTCATGGTAGAAAATGCCAGGCACTATGCAAATAGGAGCAGGAGGTTGACACCTTTCTAGATTCCCAGATTCCTGCTGGGGCTTATTAGTGACTTGTGTATGTATATGTGCATGTGTGTGTGCCCGACCATCTGTGCACATATGCTGTGTGCATATATATGATAGAGAGGAGGTTTGGAAATGATGGGGCTGCAAAGGCATCAAGTCTTCTCTTGTTCTACATGGACACACCTGGGGAGACTGTTCATTTGCTCTCTCACTCACTAGCCTTCTTGCCTACTAGATCTCTCTCTCTCTCTCTCTCTCTCTCTCTCTCTCTCTCTCTCTCTCTCTCTCTCTCTCTCTCTCTCTTCCTGTCTTCCTCAAATCCTCTCCCTCTCTCTCTCTCTCTTTCTCCTGAAGATCAGTCAGATATCAACCCCTATGCCCACATTTCTACAATCATGTCCCATGCCCAAATGGCCCTCTGATTTTTCAAAAAGTTAGGCTTAGGGGAGTAACCTGATGATGTCATGGTCACTCATTGCGTGACTTGGTGTTGCCAGCTTCTTCCCAGATGTGACTGAGTTCAAACACACAAAAACAGAGCTGGGTAGTGGTGATGCACACCTTTAATCCCAGCACTTGGGAGGCAGAGACAAATGGATCTTTGTGAGTTCGAGGCCAGACTGGTCTACAAGAGCTAGTTTCAGAACAGGCACCAAAGCTACAGAGAAACCCTGTCTCAAAATAAATAAATAAATAAATAAATAAATAAATAAATAAATAAATAAAATAAAACACATACAAAACAGTCTGTATGAAAATCCCATGAACATGTGTGTGTGTTCATGGTCTTTGTAAGGTAGAAACCCTTCCTTCCCAGAACTGACCTCCAATCTGATTTGAGGTTCCTCATTCCTTGCTGGGATCACACAGCCAATTAATTGATCAGGACCAATATTAGTTCCAATTTTCTCCATCACCCCT